CCAAGATTCGTATATAGACATGAGTCAAGTCTTACAACCCCCATAACTCGGTCGAATCTCATCCGATTTTCACGAGATTTGTATTTTTCTTAATGGTTTTCCGTCTAGAATAAGCTGGCATTAAAATCTGAACATCGATTTTTTAGTCGAAATTCATGTCCAAATCTTACCCCAAGGTTCGTATATAGACATGGGTCAAATCTTACAACCCCCATAACTCGGTCAAATATCATCCGATTTTCACGAGATTTGTATTTTTCTTAATAATTTTACCTCTAGAATAATCTGGCATCAAAATCTGAACACCGATTTTTTAGTCGAAATTCATGTCCAAATCTTACCCCAAGATTCGTATATAGACATGGGTCAAATCTTACAACTTGGTCAAATCTCATCCGATTTTCACGAGATTTGTATTTTTCTTAATGGTTTTCCATCCAGAATAAGCTGGCATTGAAATCTGAACATCGATTTTTTAGTCGAAATTCATGTCCAAATCTTACCCCAAGATGCGTATATAGACATGGGTCAAATCTTACAACCCCCATAACTCGGTCAAATCTCATCCGATTTTCACGAGATAATTTTACCTCTAGAATAATCTGGCATCAAAATCTGAACACCGATTTTTTAGTCGAAATTCATGTCCAAATCTTACCCCAAGATTCGTATATAGACATGGGTCAAATCTTACAACCCCCATAACTCGGTCAAATCTCATCCGATTTTCACGAGATTTGTATTTTTCTTAATGGTTTTCCATCTAGAATAAGCTGGCATTGAAATCTGAACATCGATTTTTTAGTCGAAATTCATGTCCAAATCTTACCCCAAGATTCGTATATAGACATGGGTCAAATCTTACAACCCCCATAACTCGGTCAAATCTCATCCGATTTTCACGAGATTTGCATTTTTCTTAATGGTTTTCCTTCTAGAATAATCTGGCAATAAAATCTGAACATCGATTTTTTAGTCGAAATTCATGTCCAAATCTTACCCCAAGATTCGTATATAGACATGGGTCAAATCTTACAACCCCCATAACTCGGTCAAATCTCATCCGATTTTCACGAGATTTGTATTTTTCTTAATTGGTTTCCGTCTAGAATAAGCTGGCATTAAAATCTGAACATCGATTTTTTAGTCGAAATTCATGTCCAAATCTTACCCCAAGGTTCGTATATAGACATGGGTAAAATCTTACAACCCCCATAACTCGGTCAAATCTCATCCGATTTTCACGAGATTTGTATTTTTCTTAATAATTTTACCTCTAGAATAATCTGGCATCAAAATCTGAACACCGATTTTTTAGTCGAAATTCATGTCCAAATCTTACCCCAAGATTCGTATATAGACATGGGTCAAATCTTACAACTTGGTCAAATCTCATCCGATTTTCACGAGATTTGTATTTTTCTTAATGGTTTTCCATCCAGAATAAGCTGGCATTGAAATCTGAACATCGATTTTTTAGTCGAAATTCATGTCCAAATCTTACCCCAAGATGCGTATATAGACATGGGTCAAATCTTACAACCCCCATAACTCGGTCAAATCTCATCCGATTTTCACGAGATAATTTTACCTCTAGAATAATCTGGCATCAAAATCTGAACACCGATTTTTTAGTCGAAATTCATGTCCAAATCTTACCCCAAGATTCGTATATAGACATGGGTCAAATCTTACAACCCCCATAACTCGGTCAAATCTCATCCGATTTTCACGAGATTTGTATTTTTCTTAATTGGTTTCCGTCTAGAATAAGCTGGCATTAAAATCTGAACATCGATTTTTTAGTCGAAATTCATGTCCAAATCTTACCCCAAGATTCGTATATAGACATGGGTCAAATCTTACAACCCCCATAGCTCGGTCAAATCTCATCCGATTTTCACGAGACTTGTATTTTAGTCGAAATTCATGTCCAAATCTTACCCCAAGATTCGTATATAGACATGGGTCAAATCTTACAACCCCCATAACTCGGTCAAATCTCATCCGATTTTCGCGAGATTTGTATTTTTCTTAATGGTTTTCCATCTAGAATAAGCTGGCATTGAAATCTGTACATCGATTTTTTTGTCGAAATTCATGTCCAAATCTTACCCCAAGATTCGTATATAGACATGGGTCAAATCTTACAACCCCCATAGCTCGGTCAAATCTCATCCGATTTTCACGAGACTTGTATTTTAGTCGAAATTCATGTCCAAATCTTACCCCAAGATTCGTATATAGACATGGGTCAAATCTTACAACCCCCATAACTCGGTCAAATCTCATCCGATTTTCACGAGATTTGTATTTTTCTTAATGGTTTTCCGTCTAGAATAAGCTGGCATTAAAATCTGAACATCGATTTTTTAGTCGAAATTCATGTCCAAATCTTACCCCAAGATTCGTATATAGACATGAGTCAAATCTTACAACCCCCATAACTCGGTCGAATCTCATCCGATTTTCACGAGATTTGTATTTTTCTTAATGGTTTTCCGTCTAGAATAAGCTGGCATTAAAATCTGAACATCGATTTTTTAGTCGAAATTCATGTCCAAATCTTACCCCAAGGTTCGTATATAGACATGGGTCAAATCTTACAACCCCCATAACTTGGTCAAATATCATCCGATTTTCACGAGATTCGTATTTTTCTTAATGGTTTTCCGCCTAGAATAAGCTGGCATTAAAATCTGAACATCGATTTATTAGTCGAAATTCATGTCCAAATCTTACCCCAAGATTCGTATATAGACATGGGTCAAATCTTACAACCCCCATAACTCGGTCAAATCTCATCCGATTTTCACGAGATTTGTATATTTCTTAATGGTTTTCCATCTAGAACAATCTGGCATCAAAATCTGAACATCGATTTTTTAGTCGAAATTCATGTCCAAATCTTACCCCAAGATGCGTATATAGACATGGGTCAAATCTTACAACCCCCATAACTCGGTCAAATCTCATCCGATTTTCACGATTTGTATTTTTCTTAATTGGTTTCCGTCTAGAATAAGCTGGCATTAAAATCTGAACATCGATTTTTTAGTCGAAATTCATGTCCAAATCTTACCCCAAGGTTCGTATATAGACATGGGTCAAATCTTACAACCCCCATAACTTGGTCAAATTTCATCCGATTTTCACGAGATTCGTATTTTTCTTAATGGTTTTCCGTCTAGAATAAGCTGGCATTAAAATATGAACATCGATTTTTTACTCGAAATTCATGTCCAAATCTTACCCCAAGATTCGTATATAGACATGGGTCAAATCTTACAGCCCCCATAACTCGGTCAAATCTCATCCGATTTTCACGAGATTTGTATATTTCTTAATGGTTTTCCATCTAGAACAATCTGGCATCAAAATCTGAACATCGATTTTTCAGTCGAAATTCATGTCCAAATCTTACCCCAAGATGCGTATTTAGACATGGGTCAAAATTTTCAACCCCCATAACTCGGCCAAAACTCATCCGATTTCCACGAGGATGGGCTTTTTGTTCATGGTTTTCCCTCTAAAATAATATGGCATTTAAATCTGACCACCCATATTTTAGTCGAAAATCATGTCAAAATCTAACTCCTAGGATTCGTATATAGACATGGGTACTTCTAGGATAGATAGATAGTCATGGGTAAAATTTTCCCACCCCCATAACTCGGCCAAAACTCATCTGAATTCCACGAGGATGGGCGTTTTGTTCATGGTTTGGCCTCTATTTTAATCTGAAATCTAAATCTGACAACATTCGAGAAAACGCTACGCTTATAAGTCTGCAAATTCTGGAAATAGGCATTTCTTACTGAATCCATGCGAATTGAGATATGCCAATCTCCAAAATCAGAACTGAATCAAGAAGATTCCAGATTCCAAATGTATATAAAAATTTGCTGCAATCTCAGTTGCTGGCTTTAAAGCTTCAGCCCATTTTGTTGGCACTTGAAAAGACAGCTTTATTCTTGATATTTAACGAGCGCTACGGGGCGCTTATCTATTTGCTGGATGGTCGCGAGTTAATGAGAAAAATGCATACGCATAAAACGACGTCTAGTTCCGACACATAAACCTGACGGAGCAGTCAGCCCCAAGACACACCCCCCGACACAATACACTCCGGCGGATTTTACGACCTTGTCGCTGTTTGTCTGTCTGCCAGGCAGACGCATAAAACAGCATGTGCGTGCTGGTAGGGAGTGCCCGACTAGGAAATATCCTACAATGAGGTTATCTGGAAGTCAAGCTCCTTCTAGGCTTGCATGAAATATGCGGAAGTTGTCTGTACTGTAGAAGAGCAGGCATATACAAAGCTTGGTGAATCGAGCTTTTGGAATCCTCGAGATATGCTGCAAGAAACAGGATTTTTTTTATCGATTTCTTATCTGTTCTATTAAACCGGGACAAGCTATCGATAACATATGGTTTTATTAAATATTCTGGATCTGTTTATTCTATAGAAGAGCAGAAATGTAAAGCTTGCATTTAACTTTTATAATCTTCGAGATATGCTAAAAGAATAGATTTTTATATCCATATTTTTTTATCGATTTGATGTAAACGGGGCAAGCTTGGGCAATGGAAGGAGCTGCATTCAACGTTTCAAGTCTCCGAGATCAACACGTTCAAACATGTAGACAGACGGGTTGATAGGCTTAATCGACTTGGTAATTGAGGTTGATCAAGAATTTGTATACTTTATGGGCTCTGAGAAGCATCCTTCTGCTTCTTACAGGGTACAGGGTATATAGGGGATATAATAGACGTTAAACTCGTCAAAGCACAAGTTCAACATGCCCGACTACGAATCACAGCCAGACACACAGCTTAAATATAGATGTGTATGAGTCTTTTATATTGTACACAAATTACCAATTTTTAATTACAACTTTAATTATAGTCCAAAAACCAAAACAAGCCCCGGACCTAGCCCAGCCGAAGTGAGTCGGCAATTTATAGCACTTGGCGCCATTCAATGAAATTCTTTTTTATGTATTTATTGGCCAACAAGGCGCTAGCAATTTATGGCCAAAAGTGTGAGCGATGCCGGCCAGATTGAAAGCGCGTGTGCGTGTGCGAGTGTGTGTGCGTGTGTGTGTGCAAGTGTGTATTCAGTAACCGCTGCGGCCGCAAAATCCGTTGAATAATTTTGGTCGCTGCATGTGATTTGGTATATGCAGAGCTTTGCCTGCTGGCAGCTCTAATTTTGTGTGAGATTTATTTTTTTTTTTTAATTTCCAGTTTAAAATGGGGGCGGCTGCTGTGAGTGTGTGGGCGTGTCGTTTACGGCAACAAATAAATTGTGCCGCGGCACCCAAACGATTTAATTTGCGGTTTTTGTCACAAAACGGACACAGCCTGAAAATTTATAAAAACTGACAACTATTCCGACTGAAGAACAAAATTTCAACAGATTTTAGAGCTTGTCGCTTTTAGTTAAAGTGCGGCAACAAAGTTAGGTAACGCATTGCCTCCGAGGACTTATTAACACTGCCCAAATAGCCCAAATTGCGCCTCTGATAATACGACTCAAACTTGCCCAGGTCCCCGCGCGTCATGTTGTGGGCCAGTGTGTAGGCGACGCGTCGCCAAAGGCAGACAACAATGCGTGCCATGGCCAAGAGCTCGCACATTTCCTCCCCGGAGTTGGCTTCGCTTAGCTGCAGGCTGGCCGACATGGTCTGCACAAAAGCCTGGTGCGTCGCCTGCATATAGGAGAGCCTCTCGCGCCGCTGCAGCCGCTCGTCGCACAGCTCAGCGGCCCGCTGCAGCTGCTGCAGCCGGAAGTGCTGGTGCAGCGCATGCAGCACCGATTGCTGCAGTTGCAGCAGAGATTCGCTGACCTCTTGATCGTCCGGCAGCTGGGGCAGCTGCTGCAGCCGGTGCACAGCCACATGCAGCTGCAGTCGCAGGCGGAAGGCGGCGTTGTAGCATCTTAGCTGCGGCTCCGTAATGATGCTAGTCAGCGCAATGTCGTAGCTGTAGTGCAGTGTTAGCTGCTCTACCTTGGCGCCGGGCACGTGCACGTAAAACGGATAGTTCGGCCGGAGATTCTGCATGTCTAAGATGCTCTGCAGCTGCTCGGCTGCCTCAGCGCTGAGGCCGCGCTCCAGGCTGCCAACAGCCAGCTCGTATTGCTGTGCAAACTGCTCGAAGTGGAGCAGCAGATAGACCGCACGCAGCTGCTGCAGCAGCTGGACCAGCTGCATCTGGTCCCTGATCAGATGGCCCAAATAGCTGTTGAGCAGCGTGGCGCGCTGCTCCAAATGACGTTCCAGCGTCTGGCAGATGAGCTCGTCCAGCGGCGCGTAGACCACGCAGCTCTGGCAGCTGCTCAGCAGCTCATCGATGCTGCAGCAGCCCGGCTGAGTCTCATCCAGATGCGTCTCCTGGTGGTATACATAGTAGAGGCAGCGCAGCTGCTCGTCCTCCGTAGAATTCAGCTGCCAGAATATGTCGGGCACCTCGACGCCGGTGCTGCACCTACTCGTGGATAGCTTCTGGTAGTACTGCAGCTGTCCGTGCACGGACTTGACCAGCGCGTGGTGCAGACTCTGCCCCAGCAGGGTCTCGTGCGCGCTCACAAAGTCCGGCAAACGCTTCGAATCGTAAAGCGCAGCGAGTGCTGCGCCTGCGGCCACAACATGGCGCTCGATCAGCTGATAGACGGGACAGATTTTCATATAGGGCTGTCCGTTGTCGAAGGTGCGCATCACATATTCCGTGCGTCCGTTGTGCTCGAGACGCTGCACCGGAAACTCTTCGTGCCAATCGTTGAATTCGCCCAGCTGCCACCAGTTGTCCAGGAAGCGGCAGAGCACGTGCAGCACATGCAACAGCAGCGCTGCGGAATAGGCGCGTCGCTCCTGCTCCTCGGCCGTGGACGTCTGGGCGGACAGCTCGACCAGGCTGCAGAATATGTGCTGGCTGCGTGAGTGCGGCTCCTGGCCGAACTCCTCCGGATAGGAGATGTAGGTGGCCGCGGCAAGGCTCCACAGCAGCTCCAGACGCATAAAGCTGCGCTTGGTGGCACGTCGAAAGTCGCGTAAGCTCAGCTGGTTGCCCTCATCTGTGTCCAGGCTGCGTTCGAACTGCGTCAGCGATTCCACCACGGGCTTGACCAGGCGTCGCAGTGCGCCGGTCAAACTGTTCAGTATCAACAGACGCTCCCCGTTCGTGTAGGGCGTTTCGCAGCTATTGATGTACAAGTGCAGCATTTGCATGTACTGCATCGGCTTGACGAACTTCTCTAGCACCAGCTGCTCGCTGGCCGTATCGCTAATTATATTTGGGCGTAGCTGAAGCAAATGATTGACCACTTTAAAGTTGTGACAGTCGCCGGGTAGAAAGAACATGCCCAATATTTCGCGCATGACAAAACCCTCCTCGCCGTACAGCTGCAGGTTCTCGGTCGCATTGTTGAACCTGCGCCGCAAATAGCTGCCGTAGGCCACGGCAAAGCGACACTTGGCGCCAACCTCGCTGCAGCGAGCCAACGTATTGCAGTCGACGGGACCGGGCCGCGGCTCCTCCGGCTGCTGGGCGTATGCGGCGTTAGCTCGGGTCACCATGCTGGTATAATTTTTGGTCGGCACCAGTTCGTTCATGCGGCGCGTCTGCAATGTTTGGGCGCTGATCGTTCTCGAGGTGGAGGCCTCGGTCTGCTCTTGCTTGGGCACCGCATCGCGACAGCTCGACAGTTTACTGTCCAGCGTGTGCCTAAATGTGGCCAAATTGAATTCGCGTGGCGTATCCGAGCTGGCCTGGGACGCCGTCAGTGTTTCGAGTATTTCCTTGCGGCGTGTCATGCAGTGCTCGTAATGAATGCGGGCCGAGCGGAACGCCTTATAGTTAACGGACAGCAGAAAGTCGAGCAGCGCCACCTTCAGGTCTTCCGTGATGCTCTTGTCATCGATTATCACATTGGCCAGTGTCTTAATGGTATCGGCTAGTATGGGCAGCTGCTCACACAGATACCGATCCACAAAGTCGGCCAAATTGTTCCAGACACGCTCGGCGCTGTTCAAGGGTTTCGCATAGCTCTCCACGCGGGCCACTGCGTACTCCAGGCAGTAGGCATAGGTGTCATCCTTCTCGTCGGTTTCCAGCAATAGTTTTGTCAACTGCGGCATCAGCTGCGCCACGATTAGCTTGCATTCCTCCTGCATGCTGATCTCTCGTACAGAATATAAACACACTTGTCATATAAAATATAGAAATATAGATCTGATAAGAGAGCACAACTGGGAGTTGAGATTTGGGCGAAGCCTGCCTGGTTGCTAGGCAGAGGCAACGATAGCTGCAGCTTACGCCTGCTTAGAGGCCGCCAACTCCGTACACTCTGAGAAAAAGTCCAGCTTCTTGTTCTCATATTGAACAATCATATTGAAGCGCTTGCGTTGAATGTTTGAATGAAGAAGAATGAAATTCTGATTTCGAACATAGCAAAATATAATCCAAAAAGCTTTAAATATTATTTTTTAATTACTTAAGTTAAACGATTTCATATACATATGAGAAAATTTAAAAAAATTGATTTTGAACCAGAAACCTTATGCTTGGAGGGCCCAAAAGATCTGTCATCTAAAATTGCATCACACCTAGCTCTAATTTGAGCCCTCAATCATCACCAATCAGTTAGTCAGTCAATCAATCGGTGGAAACTCTTTGATACCTTGATACCTGCAGAAGAATTCTTTACGTGCTAAGAACAAAGCAAACAAATACGGACTTGAAAGAACTTAGACCAGGCGTTTTTTGTCCGAGTGTAAGCAATGGTAATGGCCGGCGGCTTATGGGCGCTTAAGGAAAATTCAAACATGCAAATTCCTGTGGCGTGCATTGGTATGCAAGGAACCCAGCACCGACACCGACACCGACAAGAACTCTGACACCAGTGACCTATTTCTAGACTGCATCAGAATCCAGCTCTGTGTGTGTGTGTGTGTGTGTGTGTGGTCTTCATGTCCAATAGCTTTGTGCAATGTGCGTACTTTGCTTTATTTTATTGTCTGACAAGATAAATACCAAAATATTGAATATGCACAGCCAGCCAAAGGGAGACAAGTGTAAGGCATGGCAAGAGAGGGTGGCGGAAAGAGAGTGAGAGGGGGGGGGGGGGGGTGTAAGAGAGGGGGAGCCATGGAGACGCCAGTGAGCGTCCAGCATCCGGGCTCTGCCCTGGAAGGAGCCTGTCAACTGCGCCACGGACAATAACTCAAATGCAATCGAGCATATTTGCTGCAGAGAACAAATAAACCCAGTTACCGGTATCCACAACAACAACAAAAGTAGGAGATATACAAATATGGTACAGTGAGGCCAGATATACGACAACTAAAAAAAAACCATAAGGCAATCGCAACAGTGATAAAACAGATTTGATGCGCCTTAAGCAAGATATCAGCTTTAGTCTCCATATATGACTTTTTTCCTATCTATCTAAAAAAACTTTTTGGTGGTTCGACTCATGGTTTGAACCAGTGACTCGTCCTAAGACACTTAGTTACCTTAACCTTAACTCTTAGTTCGTTTAGGGGGGCACCTATTGTATTTTTAATCTTGAACTTATAATATTACTTATAATATTTACAGGTTTTGGCAAAACTTTAGGCAAATAGCTTTCAGTTCAGTGTGCGCGGTGGCACAGAAATATTTGTAGAAAAAAAAACTATAGACAACAAATACTGCTGAGGACTCTTGGTAAAACGAAAGTTCCCACAGATTCCGACTGTCTGTCGCAGTGTCTAACTGTGCGAGTGTGCGGGTGTGCGGGTGTGCGAGTGTGCGGGTGTGTCTGGTGTGAAGAAGTGTTGCCAAAACAGCAAGTGAAATCTTTACCAGAAAACAAAAGCCGAAATGTAGAAAAACAAGGGAAAATTGTTTGAAGGCAAAACTTGGGCAGGCAAAACTTTTTGTCGCACTCGGCGAAAAGTAAGCGAAAACTTAATAAAGATCGCAGCTGACGTCGCAGTCGACGTCAGGATGGGGCACAGGACAGCGTTTGGTCAGTGCCTGCAACGACCACAGACTGTCGAAATTAAACCAAACTGAATTTGCACTTACACTTTGCCCAGACGCCGAGCGAGTGAGAGAGGGAGTAAGAAAAAGGGGGAGACTATCTGCGTGAGGCTGTCGAAATTGTCACTTTCGCAATTTGCCGAGCGGGTGCAATGTGGCCGCCATTCCGAACAATGGCGCTTGCGTCTTGCCGCATGGCGTGCTTCAAGCGTCGCCTAAGTGACATTTATGCGCCTGGGCGGCAGTCGCATCAGCAGCAGGCATCACAAGCCGCTTCAAGCTGCGCCAAACTTTGCCAACCAAAATGCACCATGGACAAGTTGGCCAAGTCTTGCAGCAAAAAATAGACGCTGCTAATAATTTGTGAATATTTTTCAGTCCTGACTGAATGACATGTGATCGAGCGGCCAGAAGCTTATCTTTAAAACTTTGTTTTCAAGTGGGGGCAATAATAGTCAAACTTCTCACAAAAATCATAAGCGAAAAGCATTACTATAAATTTGTGATTTGTAAGCGTCGAGCAAGCTAAAGCGCAGGTCGCCTGTTCAAACTCAGCATAGGCGCATGTTAGATCTACATTTGGGAAGCTTTCTTCAAAGTTGGCGCGAGTTACGTAATGGACTTTAATGTCCGGCTGACGCTTAAAAATTTACTCTAGGTTAAATAAAACTCGAAATTCTGGGCTTGAACCAATTCGGTTCGGCTTTGATTGTAATATACAAAATGCAAATTCAAATATTCGAAACGCAGTTTTGAAAAGTTTAGGACAAAAATGTACTCAACTGCATTGCTTAACAGCTGGCAGCCTAACAGCTTTATGTTAACATGTTTAACATTTTATGTTATGTTAACATTTTAACATTGAATGTAAAAGAGACAAACTATGCCCATAGTCCAATGCAATTGCAGACGCAGTCAAGCAATCTAACTGGGAGAGTGAGATAGAGAGAGTGAGGGAGAGAGAGCGGGAAAGGAAAAACGAGAGTTACGACGGAGACAGAGCGAAGTTTGTTTTAATAAATACTTTCATTGTGTATGCAGCGGCATCACCTGCCTCCAGCCAGATCCTGTCACTGTTGATGATGAAAAGTTTCTTCAGAATTTACTCGCTCATCGACATTCCCGGCGAACTTGGACGCCGATGGAACAATAGGAATGAGAATGGGAAAGCCGCCGGGAAACAATCAACAGCCGCAGACGTCAAATGCAAAAATTACTCAGTTTTTATGAACTTTGCCATTCGAGTTGTTGCAATTACGACAGAACTTCGCCAACTTATGCTTGCAGTTTGGCTGCAAATAAATACGTATATTTCAATTAAGGCGCTAAAAATCTGTGAGCCGGGCCAATAATTTTCTTTTGTCTTGGCCGAACATTAGCTGCAGGCCAAAAGTGTTGTTAACAAAAAATGTGCAAGGCACAAAGCAAATTTCAAGTTACTTTCTTCAGCCCTGCGGGCGTCTGTTGTCGACTAAACAAGGGTTCAGCTTAAGTATACAAACACATGCATAACTCAAACTGAGCTTAAATTAAGAAAGTAAATACGAAAATATGTTTTAAATTCATTTTCAGACTGTTCAGAAATTGAAAAAGTTGCTATTTATATATTTAAAATATTTATTTAAATTTAAACAAAACACATCCGATTTAAATATTACTAGAGCCGCGGATTTAGAAAACATTTGGTTGCTTATATTAAACAATTTTACATTCTTAAAATGTGTAGCTAGAAAATTATATTTGAATTTAATACCAAACATGTCTCAAATAGAAATCTGATCTACTTGAAATAGTCGCACAAGACCATGAAATAAGCACGTTTGCTGTTTATTGAAAAATTACTCTCATCCATCAGACTATTAAAGCTGTACAGAGCTTAAGTTTGACCATGGCCTGAGTTTAAATTTACTCAACAATCAAAGCAACAAATAAGTTTTTATACCCTTGTAGAGGGTATTATAATTATACCCATGAACCCATTGAAAATGGGTAAAAAGGGTATATCGCATTTGTGCAAAATGCAAATGAATGTAACAGGCAGACGGAAGCATCTCCGACCCCATAAAGTATATATATTCTTGATCAGCATTAATAGCCGAGTCGATCTAGCCATGTCCGTTTGTCTGTCCGTCCGTCCGTAGAACCTCTTACTTGTTTTCTATGTTTAAGTTTTGTTATAGTTTTGTCACAATTTACTTGGCATATATGTAATATGCATAATTTTGTAACACTATCCTATGGCAAATTTACAATTTCTTTAAACTAAAATCCATTTGAAAGCTGTATTTGCGCTTTCAGCTTTCAGTTACGCTTCACTTTGACACTTGAGTTTCTTTGGGATAATTTGCTGTCTTTGACCTGAGTTTGCGTCAGACACACATTCAGTTGGGCCTCATTTAGCGCAGTCGCCGCTTTGTTTGGCCATAAACAACACATTAGCAAAGACCGGAAACTGTTTCGGGAAAATGTTGTCTATTTATAGTCGACGCAAACGTTGCGCTTGCAACAATGCAACACATCTGGCTGGCAAGCCACAAGCGGCATCGACAGCAACAGCAGCAGTTTTTCCAGCTATTCCGCCCGAATTCATGGATCCGTCATAATTTTTGGAGCCGTAGGCAAAGTTAATTAGTTGTGATTTTTCAAAGAACATTCAAATCGAAGGCGCGGACGGACGGATTCGAAATATACACGCAAACAAATAGACGCGGCCCGAGGCTGTTGGAGAAGAGTCGGCAGCGGGGCACATGTTGAGTGTATAAAATTTTGATGAATGTTTTGCTTACGGCCGCGTCGCTGACAAGGGGTTGCCTGACTGCCTCCCAGCCTGCCGCACCCCGTCCCGCTGGCTGTGCGTCCATCAGAGTTTTATGCCTGGGATGCAGCGCATCTGGCGCTCCCCTCGGCCGCAGCCACAAGTTGCTTGTATGGCAATTGAATGTGAATTATATTGAACATTCATAACAGATTCACAAAGCCATTGCCAGGACACAGTTCCAGTTCCAGTGCCAGAGCCCGACCCAGAGCCCGGTCATGGCCATGTTGCATGCCTCTGTGAACTTTACGCTTTAATGACGTTGACGGCGTCGATTGGGGCAGCAACAGATGCCATAAATTACGCAGCATAAACAGACCCCGACTAATTAACAGAAGAAATTCACTCGAAAATTGGATGCAACACCAATTTTTGGGGGGAAAGGCGAACAGCCAAATGCAAACCAG